CTTTTTTGATGGTTTTGTGTCGCGGCAAGACATAACAGACAGACAGACAGACAGATGGAAAGACAGACGTACAGTACAGAGATAGAGACAGACAGACATACAAACAGGCAGACAGATAGATAGAGACAGACAGACTTACAGACAGACAGGCAGGCAGGCAGACAGACAGACAGGGACACTAACAGGTATACAGACAGGCAGGCAGAGACACATGCAGTCAGACAGAGAGACAAACAAACAAACAAACAGACAGACAGACAGACAGAAAGAGACACATGGAGACAGACAGACAGACAGACAGAGAGAGAGACAAACAAACAAACAGACAGACAGAAAGACAGACAAACAAACAAACAGACAGACAGATCCCTTACCGAAGCGGCACTGTAGGTGCTGTTGTACCAGGCCGCCCAGACAGTAGACCTGTTCCCGGTAGAGGCGGACACCACACAGGCCGCGATAAAATACATCAGGGTCACTCCCGCGTGATAACAGAACTCCTGTCAGGAAGAGGACATGTACATCAGGATGATATGTACAGCTAAGTACGGTCGACATCAGTATAAATGTATGGCAGTAACAGCATATGTATAGCTGGACGTACCAACCACTAATTAAAAATATAAGTATATCTATAGCTAATACCAGCTTTAAGAAAAGAACAAGAAATAGTCATGCCTTCAACTCAGAGTTATCAACCAAGAATTGAGGTGTTCAAAAACTCGCATTTTCCAAGAACAATCAAATATAGAGTGGAACTCTCTGCCACCAAGCACAGTTGGGGCATTATCATCAAAAAACTTTAAAAAACTCCTGCAAAGATCGGGTGTAACTGGTCGTTCGTTGTATAACATTCTAGCTGCCGCCGCACCGCGTGCCTGCAAAGCTATGGTGTGTTACAACTACTGTTACTACTACTACTACTACTACTACTACTACTTCTACCAATTAACTACGTCAGTAATAAATGACATTGTTAATGATAATTCAAAATCTTTGATTGGTGATGAATTAACAACACATTGAATCCACAGCTATTCGTGATAGATTCTTAAGTTCTGCTGTCCCATAAACCGTAGGCAGCGACAAGAAAACGAACTTTAAGTGACGTTGACTCACAATGAACGGCCACGGCAGAGCAGACAGCGGTGCCTTGGAGTGCAGGGTTAGTACGTGAACTAACAACAGAAGAATCGTAGTCAGCCAGGCCGTCACTTCCACAAACATGACGAAGTTCTCCCCGCAGCAGTAGCCTGATGACGCGATACACACCCAGGCGATGAAACCTAGGAACTGGAAAGAAAAAAAAAAAAGAACAAAATAGTTTAAAAAGTAGAAAGGTAACATTGGCAAAGAAAATGCATAATGTTTACCTTCGCATACAGTATGATATGTTAATTCTTACTTAAACACTTTTGATCGATAGATAGGGTTAGACAGATAGATAGGGTTAGGGTCTAAATCCTTCCTGCTATAAAATTGCAACATGATGTAACCCAACACCAGTTACCATGGTGACAGACGTCTGGTTCAGGTCATTGACCTTAATTGTTTGGAGAAGAAGAAGAAGAGGAAACAAAGCAAAAACAAGGAGAAGTCGTAGACATCGTCCCTCCATGAAATAGCTTGTTATTTTGTAATCTTTTGGTGTATTTTAATAGAGATATTATGAGTCAAACTTTGTTTTTATCAGCAGAATGATAGATGTCTATAGATGTCTATCCTTTAAGAATTTTGTTGTGGCACTTCGTATTGGAAGAGGTTGCCTATATTTATTTATTCATGTGCAGGCAATTAGTGTCTTGTTACCATGGTTTGTTTGAGGTCAATTACCTCTCAAGCACAACATATTAACAAACCACAGATGACCCAGTTCCCTGCTGAATGACCGATTAAAGATAAGATATATTTCCTGCAGAGGTAAAAATAGATTGGCCTGACCTGCCAGCTGGAGGTATAAACAAAAACACTCTGTACCAATTTGGGGTCAAACAGGCCATCCTATTATGAAATAGGGGTGAAAATGTGAAAATCCTTTTAAATAAGCAATGCAAATCTACGACAACCTGCTAATGCACGCTAAAACGCAAAGACAATCAGCGTCTACCCACATACCAAAAATGATCGCCAACCATCCACCGGGTTCTGAGATCATTCAACGCAAACAATCTGACATTGAGATAGCAATTCCGGTTCAAAGCAAACAGCTGGGGGGCCCAAATTTACATCACTAAACCATTGTAACCACAACTACATGCTACCTTAGCATCGCACACACAGACCATAACGTGCCAACAATAGAATAAAAAAATTAAACTGCAGTACCAAGGTCAATCACCAGGTGCTCAAAGTCAACCTACACAATCTCCAAGGCCCCATCCATCAATCTGCCAAATATCGTACAATTCCTTCTCACCGATCTTCAGATATCAGACCAAACATGAAACGGAGTAAAAACAATACCCCCCATTTACATGGAGGGTAACAATATGTTTTCCTGCATGCGAAGGAAAACATAACAAAAACCACGATGGTTTAATAAAGAAGCACGCTTAAGAAAGATTTGGGCTTTCAAAACAAATTGCTTCGTTCATCCAATACAACTAAGTACCCTTTGTTACAAGGGAACATAGGTGGAATAGGGCCTTATATCCCTATCGCGCACAAAAAGGCTTACTAGTAGAGCTGTGTACCGGTACGCAGTACCGATACTGTACCGGAAAAATTGATTAGGTACAGGTCCAAAATACCTAATCCCTCAGTACCGGTACTGTACCTAAACAATTTCACACCAATTTTATGCCTATTTGTGACCTCAAATGTGTAAATAGCTGGTTAACAATGGGTCCCTGTGTAAGGACACTGTGTTCATGAAAACAAAAACACTTAGTTTTGCCTATATTTTATCTGAGCATTCGCCATAAACAAAGAAGAAACCTTAACTATCAAGTTTATTTATGTTTTTTTGTTATTGAAGGAGTTCAGAAGACCATATAAATTGGTCGAATTGTTCAGGTACAGGTTCAGGTCCGGACCTGTACCTAAACCTGTGTACCTGTACCTGTACCTGTACCTAAAATTTGTTTAGGTACACAGCTCTACTTACTAGTAGATACTGCATATGCACCGGGTATTCATGAGGACTTTTGAAGTTTTGAGATGGGCAATGAAAAGCGACGTCTAACGCCTGTCGTGATAAGTGCACCCATAACTAGTCGGATCCGGAGGCGTGGTCTATGTCAATAGATCGGCGAAGTAACGCTCAACTAACCAATCATTATTAGGGCCTTATCATTCTATCTATCAATGTATTTGGGCTACTTCCCGTATCTATTTACAGATTAAAGTCAGGATATTTCTGAGCACCTTACCAGTGTGTAACAGGTGTATTATTTTATACCATATGGGCCGAAGAGATAAATATTGTAACGTTACAAACCACAAGAGACTTAGAAATGCGTATGCAATGTATATCCACATAGAAACACGTTTTTTTGTGTACGTAAGTTATTGTAATGATCTAGCTAGTTCTGTACATTGTTTCTGTTGGTTCCCTTCAAGCTTTAAAGCTAGTGTTAACTTTCCTCGTTGCCTTTTTGTGTACCAGTCAAAAGATTCTATATACATAACGTCACAGTCTAGAAATACGGACTGTACAAGGTGTCAGAACATTTTTTTAAAACCCGACACCTCCCCCCCTCCCAAGCAGTTTTCTGTTTTCAAGCACGACAATGTTCTATTGCTTAGGCCACACCAATTTAATTTGTTGGTTCTCGGATTCGCCTCTTCGTTTTTTTCTGATTTGCAAAAAAAAAAATTGATTCTGGTCCTGAATCAACTGAAAAATGCTCATGTTTTGCCCCCCAACAGTTGAGGAAAGTCCTTTTCTTCCTAGTTGTTACAGTTTTCCCATCTATCATTGCAGTGGTTTGATTAAAAGTTCAAAATTCAATGTTTAAATTTTAACACAGCCTTTTGTGTTGACTTCATGGCTCATTTTGTAGCATTTAAGCCTATAATAGGATGCCTAGACCTGTTTTTATTTTTATTTTTTTTCGCCCTGTCGCTTCATATTTTTTCTGAAAAAATCCGAGAACCAACAAATTAAATTGGTGTGGCCTTAAGTGTTAAATCCAGATCCTTAGATTGCTATTCAGCGTCAATGCGGTGAGAAATATGGTCCCAGTCTAGGTTTGTCTAGCCACAATCTCAACCTATGACCTCGAAAAACCTGACATTCTTTAAAGTCGTTCTTCCAGTTTAACGCCTTAGGCTATATTGACTATCTGCATACAAGACACGTTCCAACGTTAAGAATCTGTGCAAAATAAACACTCAAAACTAAAAACACACACCTTTCTGTTCCGTACCTACAATACTACTGCCGTTTTGCGTATCTGAAATTATAAGATCTACAAGTTTATACGAAATATAACTGAAGTACATGAGTATAAGTGTGTACGTACCAGTTCTATAATTTTTAGGATGCCAGGGAAGGTTTTGATGTATTCGACGTCGATAACAGGGGCAGACACCATGGTGGCTGTTGTCGGAGCGTAAGCTTGTGGGGCCTCGACTGCCTCTGCCGGGGTGTCACCCATGTTTGACTTAGAACTGTTGACTTCAGGCAAACTCTGACGACAAGAAACAAACTCTAGCCAGCGCCCTGACTACACACTTGTCGAGACAACGCGGAACGTATACTCATGGGAGTGTGACGGAATAAACCATTATGTTTAATAGGTTCTAAAGTCTTATAGTCATTTTTATAACCACATCAATAAAGCAGATATCACAGCTCTAATCTTCTTGAAATTATTCTAGAACAGTATTTAATATAAACTACATTTAACATCATCCCTAACGTGGGAATACGACAGCTTTTGTTAAATAAAGACTAAAATTCCACCCCTATATTTAAAATGTATAATTGCGCTGGGTATCCCAAAGCGTTGGGCGTTAACTCAAGTTATTTTGCATCTAATTATTAACAAGAAAAGCCTTTAGATATCAATGAGGCTGTAGCAGCTTTCAGTTCTCCAAGTGTTCACGTATAAACGATCCAACAGCTATATTTCTTTGGCATTTAGAACCTTCAATTGAAGGGCCTGTGATGTATCTATTATCCGCTAGGTGTCCCCATTTCACAGCTAGTTAGCCAGGGTCTTTTTGATGTCTATCTACTTGTAGTATTTTTGTTGCACATCACACACACAAAAAGTTACAAAAAAGTAACGTTAGGCCATAGCAAGTAAATTTTATGGATGACATCCTCCGCAGACTCCAAATCTAATGCGAGCGGGCGAAAAAAAAAAACAAGGCAGGCCGAAAAAAACAAGGTTCCTACAATGTAAAATTTTGACTCAATCATGGTACAAATGGTTTTGATTCAGTGGGAACATCACGTATACACAGCCACCATCACATATTACTTCACCAAAGTAAGAAACAAAACATTAAATCAGAGCCTTTTTTTGTCTCCTCTCTTCATAGTTATCTGCCATCCACCTTCCTGCATGGCAACAGACATCTTTGTGCATTTTTGGCATGTTGACCACTGTCAGAACGCAAAAAAATTTTTTTTTTTTTCCCAAAATCAGGCAAAAATTAATGCGCGCGCTGATGTCATCCATAAAAATTACTTGCTGTGGCCTTAGGTGGTTTGCTGAATTTTCCAAGATGGGAGTGTCTTTTCAATATCTAGGTTACTCTTCTTAGAGTCGATTAACTTGGAAGGAGAGAGAGAATGAGAGATAGAGAGAGAGAGGGAGAGAAAGACTGAATCCCAATGATTGTATAAACAAAGTATTTTATTGTTAGAACCACAAACATCATACCCAATGGCACCTCAACATGTAAAAATACACTTTTCCCTTAATAGTTCATTAGTTATTAACAACAGTTTCACCCAACACTATGCAAGGCACACATGGCAAGTAAAAAGGCTAGCTCTAGATCTTAGCACCGTGAACTAGTCATAAGGTCATGTTGATTTGATTATATGGATGACATCTTCTGGGAACCCCAAAACTGATGTGCGCATGCGAATAAAAAAAAGTTTGGCCCCCCAAAAAGTTGCTTTCGTTATGAAATCTACATGGTTTTGAAGGTTGAACAAATGACACAGTATGGTTTGGCGAATAATCTAGTCTTCAAATTCATTTCTTTACATTTTCGTCTTTTTCGTTTAATTTTGGCATTCTACGACATTGGTATCATTTTCCAATGTTTTTTTTTTCAACTCACCATATGTATTTGCTCATTTTGCAACTGTTTTGTACGATTTACAGTATGGTTGAAAACTTTTTTTTTTTAAACGGCCAAAAATTCATGCGTGCACGGATGTCATCCATATAATCAAATCAGTATGGCCTTATTATAAAAAAAGTTATCTGAGAAGGTTTACATGTTATCCTTCACCATCCTGTCATACCAATGTATTCTTATATCACCATAAGAAAAAAGCAAAGTGGTTAGATTTTACATTGTAGTAGCCTCCCTTATAGACTTCTTGAAGCATCAGAATTTTTTCGTCTAGAAGTCTGTGAAGGAGACTAAAATTTAGCATGTTTTGAGATATACACATAGAATTAGTGTACGACATATTCCATGAAGTATAGAAATATTCTACACTATGAAAAAATCTGGTTTATAACAAACATACAAATAGATGAGCACTATACTAAATGGTTCATTTATTAATGAACTCCTAGCACCATTCTAGCAGGAACATCTGTGTCCACAATATCACCAGGGTCCATGATATCACCACCTTGAGAAATAGTGTGCTTTAAGATATTTTTACTGCAACATACTTTTGGTATGCACTCCTGCACACCTCAAATGTACATACCTAGGGTATGTTGCAGTCAAAATATCTTTAAGCACACTTTTTTTTTCTCAAGGTGGCGATATTATGGACTACGGTGATATTATGGACACAGATGTTACATGTACAAATGTACATCCTACAAAAAAGCTTTAAATTTTCAGTCATGATAAAGCAATGCAATCACATCATACAAATTGAGAACATTTTTTTTTCACACAAAATACACTTGATTGAAAACGCTACATTTTTTCATAGTCAGCATTATTATGTGTCTTGAATTGAAAACATAATAAAAAGATGAATGAAATAAATAGAAATTTTACTGCAACAAAAAGCTGAAAATGTTTCGATGTCAATTCAAAGTTAGTCAGTCAAAGTATTTTACATGTCAATCTAAATGTAATGTTTAAACTTAACAAAAAATGGCAAGATACGAAGATACATGTATTTCGTATATTTTTCAGCTCCAAATAGCTGTTGTTGCTTTCTGTTAATAGGTGTATAAAAATAAAATAAATAGGGACAAAATATTATATGCATATGGGAGATAAATATATAATGTTATTTTTGAAAACTTCAGCTCCATAGAATGAGAAGAAATTAACATGTTGTATGAAAATTTACATGTATTTTAGATGTTACTTTATTGTAGCTTCAAACTTTGAGGCACCGATTTCTTGCATAAAGTCACTGGTACATGTATATAACGGTGAAATATTTCCAACACACAAATATGTTTGTAAAAAATAGTTCATGTTTAAGGTACTTCATTTATGCTATTATTACCATACTTCTTGAAGTACAGACTGGGAAACAGTTAAGAATTCTGATTCAGTTTTGTATCAAAACTTTTCTTGCTAAATTCACTCACAAGGCACATGTTGACTGCAGAAAGGCACAACAATCGACTACAAAAAGTACAAACTTTGACAGTCTACATGTCAGTTAACAAGCACATCGGCAGAACGTACTGCTAGCTGCACCTGCGTGAAACCTGTAATGTATTGTGCATAGCACTTCGGCAGTACGTCTCGTATAAGGTTAACATGCTGTCTGTAGTTTCCAAATGTTATGTCAGAAAAAATATTGTCTGCAACAGGCAAAAATCTGATGCAACGATGACCTAACATTTGATGAAAACCGTGAAAAATTAGGCTTTCATGCAGGCGCAGTATGTTCTGCAGAAATGCTCAGTTAACAGCAACTTGTATACAACTGCCTGCAAATTAAAACAAAAATCTCGATGAAAATAACAGGCACTTGAGGAGTGATCTCTGGACCTCCGCAGCGGTCAGACGATCGTGCTCAGGCGGTTGCGGTGTTCCCGCCTGCGCTGGTCCCGCCGCTTTGCCAGTTACGGAACGCCAGGAAGGCGTCCACGCCATAGCAGATCGTGGTGAAGAGAGCAAAGGCCTGTGGGAAGACAATCACAGGGTTATTTACCAGTTTCCCATTCCCATGGTGCATTGTGCCTGGGGGTGTGTGAAAATTCCCAGGTTGCAGAGCGCCATGTGATCTGAATTTTGTGTTTCTGTCGTGTGTTTACATTCGTTGATGACAGAAACTAAAACATCAAGTCAATAGTTGTATCTTCTTTCTACTGAAAGACAGTATAGTGTTACCACTGTAACGTAACAAACCATATGTTCCATGTTAAAAAGAACGCAAATGTTTCATTCTCTATGTCATATTTGAACCATAGTAAGTGCACGTATGTAAATTAATGCAGGTTAGGTGCAGGTAGACATCAGAAATGCCTGCACAGCTCCAATTTTACTGTAATGTAAATACAGGCATATACAGGCACAGGCATATACAGGCACCACCTACATTTTGAATGAACTTCAGTGTAAAAGAAAAAATGGCAATGATTTCTGAACAGTTTTTTAGTGTGATCCATACTTCCTAAATCCTGATATGATATTTCCAATCCTGGTTGTGTTTACCAGTCACACAAAAACAGACAAACTTACAGCTGCGGCTGCGTAGGTGTTGTACCAGTTGGCGTTGGTGTACGCGAATCTGGTGTGGGTAGTCCCAGCCTGGACAGCAAAGGCAATCAGGTACAACAGTGTGGCCACTGCAGCATAAACCAGCTCCTAGAAAACAATTCAATAAGTGTTAACATGATGCCGAAATAAACTATTAAAGGCATCCAATGCAATTTAAGGACAGCAAAAACTGGATTTTGTGCAATGATTGAGTGGAACAAGTCGTTCAGTGTGATATAGCTCGCTGAGGCCGTGCCACGTGCCTGTATGCGAAGCTGGTGTCTTATGCCGAAGGGCGGTTACACTGGCTATACCGATACAAATACAGATTTTCAAAGTCAATCTTCTGGTCAATGTTTTACATAGTCAGTTCAATCATGTCCTATCATGAAATGATGACAAAAATAAAAAAAATGGCAGTAATTTAAATATTAATATTAGACAAATTTCCTCATCCAGAACATCTTTGTTTTGTCGCTTTGAAATTGGGCATCAAAAACAAACAAAGAAAGAAACAAACAAACAAACGTGGTTTGTTTTGTGGTGCTGATAAAATAAGTTATAAACTTGAGTGCAGCACCACACTATCCTAATGTTACTGTTGTATATTGATGAATAAAAAACAAACAAACAAACAAAAAATGTCCTTTTCTCACCAGGAAGAGCCATGGCAGTCCGATGCGCTTGTAGAGTGAGGTGGAGTAGAGGACCACCAGCAGTAGGGTGATGATCCAGCATGTCACAGCCACAAACATCACCCAGTGCTGACCTCCTCCATAGGGAACGTACCGGTACGGGTACGACGCAACGCACGCCCAGGTGATCAGTCCAAAGAACTGTAAAGAAGAATAAAATAATTTTAAAAGCCTGTATCAAAAAATGAAAACAAAACGTCTGGGGGTATTTGGCCATTCTACCTTCATGACAAATTTCACGTCATTTGGCCCAAAAAAATTTAAAAATTGAATCCATTTAACGAAATGGCAGGAGGAGATGGAGAAGAAACATGTGGGAAAACAATATATTTCATCCATACCTATGGCATGGAGTAATAATAAATGATGGACTAAAATATGAAAAAAGGCAAAACTTTTTGGCATTTAGTGTTTATCATAAATATTGTGCAATGTAAATATGGAATGGCAATGTTGTACTGATATTAATACACAGATTACTTGAAGCTTTTGTCATACTTTCTGTTGTTTTAACATACAAAATTGCAGGTTACAAACACGTTTTAAGTATAAAAAATAATTCTGAACAACAGAAGAAAGTACTAGGTCTAGTACTTTGAGCCCTAAATTAGTAGGTGACACAAAATTTCAGTATCATCATCATCATCTCAAATTACTATAATTTTAAAATGCCTGTCAGATTGGAAGAGGATTATTTTGAAATTAGGAAAACCTGTTTTTCCAGGGTTTCTCTGTCTTTCCAAAGCCAGCCAGTTGCCCCACCCTATACTGTAACAATCTTGCAGTTTGGTGCCATTCTTTGCGTAGTCTGTTAAGGTAGTGACATTAGGGTAGCAGAACACAGTATTCCTCCGCGACCCCCGGAGACGATGACGTAGGGATAAGAAATGAGTGCGACAAACAGCTTGCACCGCTTGTACACAGCCTAACGTGGATGACACCGGGACATACAAGTTACCGTATGGTACCATAATATGTCGGCTTTGATATCGCATAATTGAGATTAGGAAGGCTGCTTGATCGGCGTATAAATGCGCGTGACCTTTTCGCTGCCTGCCATGGTGAGTCGGCTGCAGTTCCGGTGCGCTCCGCAGGAGGCCATTTAAAAGAGGTCGGCATAATGTCAAAAAAACGATAACTTTTTGTACTTTTTTGTTATTTTGTACATCGTACCCTATATTTGAACATATTTGTTTCTCGTGCTTTTCTATGGTACCCTACTGTATTTTTATCCGAGTCGATGTCAGTCACTTCCCGGTCCTTAACTATAGAAATCCCCATAGGCGAAAAACTGTGTTCTGCTACCTTGAACCCCCACGGGAATTAATCAACCGCGTCAAATTCGGTGAAATTTGCTTAGTATATCTGGTACTGACGTCGGTTCAAGTAAAATACACCAGTTTATTTCACCGTCAGACCTCCGTTGCCATGGCAACGGCCACTAGGACCGTCCCCTATGCTTTACTATGGGAGTTCCCCACTGGCACGAGAACGCGTACCCCCCCCCCCTTTTTCTGTCGTAAAAACGGCTTACACTAAGTACAAATCACTCAGAACGTGAGAGGATACAACAATGATACACGCTAGCCAGAAAAAGTCGGCTGGAATAGTAAATTTGACCTGATAAGAAGACCATTAAATGGCCCGTCATTAGGGCCTTGTACGGGACCTAGCCCTACGACAGGTGCCGAAGTGCAAAGTTGCCGAAATCTCAGCAACCGTTCGGATTTGTGGAATAAAATTTGGCCAAGTTTCACATCTTGACTAGTTTTATCGTATAAACGAAAAAAAATTCAAGGTCAAGTTCGTTTAAGGTAGCAGAACACAGTATTCCTCCGCGACCCCCGGAGACGATGACGTAGGGATAAGAAATGAGTGCGACAAACAGCTTGCACCGCTTGTACACAGCCTAACGTGGATGACACCGGGACATACACTACCAGGACCGTAAAATTTAACGAACTTTTCGGTAGCGTGTACACGTACACGGCGAATGCACGATCGTGTGTTCGGCGTGTTTACGTTTGGGGTGGGCGGGATTTTGGGGGCCAGTAGGGCGGGGAATATTCAGAATATTCATGTTTCAGGCACCGTGTACACGGAATATTCATGAGAATATTCATGAAACAGCACGATTTACGGCAAAAAAACAACAACGCATCGCCGCGCCAAGGCAACTGCGCCGCATGCGCAGTGTTTATTTTGGCAGAGATGACGTAAATACCGTGTAGAATCCTTTCATATGAAGCTAACACAAAATAC